CGTGTGACCCAGTTCCCAGCTTGACTTTTCGCTCTGACTTAATGAGTTTGGGGTCCCAAGATTTATTTACCTTTCACAAAATGATCTAAGGATAAATAAAAAAGTGTAGCAATAGATTATCAAATAAATTCCTTAACCATATATCTGTTTTTCCCTTTGTTTTGCTTGTCTTTCTCTCCTATTACAACATATTCATTTAAAATCTAATCAATGCTTTCAAAGCCCATTAAAAAATTAGCATCCATCTTCCAGGTGAAATCAAGTCTTCTCTTTTTTGCATTCTCATTACTTTATGTTAATCCATCTTTTCAGCATTTATTACAATGTGTGTTTCAATTAATTACTATTACATGCTCAAATCCCCTCATCAGCTGTTTGTAGAAAGGGATTATTTATTCTCTCTGTTTCCCTAAGTTATTTGCATGGAGTATTGGCATAGTAAGTGCTCAATAAAAGTGCTTGAATCAAAGCTTATTCAGATTTATTAACTGAATATTATAGGAAGAGTGGAAGAAGGATAAGAAATTATACATATGCATAATTACACACACACACATATATATACGTGTGTGTGTGTGTGTGTGTGTATATATATATATATATATAGAGAGAGAGAGAGAGAGAGAGAGAAAATCCATTACTCTTTGAGAAGAAATAAAGACACTCAGTATGACTTACTCTGTTGAAAATTTCCAAAAATGACATAGCTCTTTTGTGACTTCTTTCTGTTACCTTGATTTGGCTGGGGTTCAAGAGTAGTAAAGATTTTCTTTTACTTCCCTTCTAGTAATGCAATTTATGTTTGTCTTATGGTTATTTTTATTCTTAATATCTATTCTACTGACATTGTGTTGAGTATTGAAACAGAAATAATTCCACTTCAATATGCTATTACAGATGACTTTAGATTTAGGCTTTTAAGACTGGATTAATTTATGGAAGTGAGAAGAAGTGCCAAGAACTCTGAAGGGTATGAGGTGTTGCTCTACTTTCAGACTGACAAATTAGTTGGCCACAGTTTCATGATTACTGGCAACAGATGCAGGATTCCTGGGTCAGGGAAAAAGGGCAGTTTATTTCTTAGTACAGCAGGAGTTACAGCATCAGAATTTTTGTGTGATTCTCCAAGTCCCAGTTTCTAAAAGTTAACATGAAGAGGGCCAGATGGCACTTGCACACAGTGCAGTTTGTTACAGGACTAGACCCTGAGTTGAGGGAACTCAAGTCTTTTATAATGGGCAGTTGGCATGGCTGTCCTGTGCTCCCAAGGGAAGCATTTTTATTACTATACTGGAGAATAAGCATGCCTGGAGTAAGTATGGAGTGAACCACTATTTTCTCTCTTTAAGCTGTTTGCTATGAAAATGAACTTGAAAAAATCTAAGGAAAAAACAGGATAGTCCATGTCTCATTTGAAAGTCATGTAAAATGCAAGAGAACCATGGAGAATTGCCTCTAAAAGATAAACGTGGCTTGTTAAACCAACAAAAAACAAACAAACAAACAAAAACACATGAGATCAAATGTTGTATTATGTTTGAAGTGAGAGAGTTAAATATCTACATGTAAATTCTGGGTAAATGTTTAAACTTAGGAATTAGAATTTATTGCATTAACTTCTTGATGTAGTATAAGTTCAGTGGAAATAAATGTATTTGTTTGTAATAAGAAGGAATTGACTATTAGATCATATACAACTTTAAAATCTCATGACTTTGTGTTAGATTGATAATGTAATCTTATAATAAAAAAAGATTTAGAGCATTTATTTAAAGGTGATAAAGAGCTGCAAAATAAGATATTTTTGAATACAATTAAAAGAATAAAATTACTTATGGGATCTTGTGAATTGATAGCATTATGGTTTTTGTTATGACACTTGATAATGGATGTTTTCTGCTGAGAAAAGAAAACTACATTAAATTATGCCATCTATTATATTCTAAGATACACTAGAGAAATCCACAGTATTTTATTCAATATGAAGTATATATTTTATCACTGTGATAAAATAATTTGGGAATTCCACAACATCTAGCCTCAATGTCAACAAAATGTCCTCGCTGCTCTTGAAAAACAAAAGATATTTATCACATTATTCTAACTTCTATTTTTATAAAGCACTTGACTTCCAAACCTAAAAGTTTTAGAGATAACAATTGTTTCATTTCTTTAAAAAGTTTCTTCAAATAGTGCTTCTTTTCTTTATCCCCTACCTTATCCTCATTCAGACACATTTATTTCCTTATTCATAGACTATTGCAGTACAGTTATGCCTCAGTATCCCTGTGATCCACATCTGCTGATTCAATGAACCACGGATTGAAAATACTTGAAAATGAACAATAAAAAATAATGATACAACAATATAAAATAATACAAATAAGAATAGAATATTACAATTAATTACAAATGTCTTCATTGTATTAGGTATTACAAATAACCTAGAGAAGATTTTGAGTATAAGGGAGAATGTGCATAGGTTAGGTGCAAATACAACACCATTTTATATCCATGACTCAAGCATCCATGAATTTTGGTATCTGTGATGGTCCTAGAATCAACCCTCCCTCTTTGTACTGAAGGACAACTGTGACTCCCTAAATGTTCATCATAGATCAATTTTTTCACATTGATTTTTTCCAGATTATACTACAATGCAAAATTAATCTTAAAATATTACTGGCCTCTCAACATCAATAGGTTAATGGATAGATTAAAATTGGTTACTCTTCAAGGCAAATTTATTCTTACTTCAGGTTTATTTCAAAATAAATTGTCACATTCCCAATTTCTAGTCTGTACTGCTGTTTTGGGGTACAAACATAAATATTAAATTGATGCTTACTTTGAGGGTTTTTTAATACATTAATTTGGCCATTATATGAGAGCTAACAATAAATGTTGGCTAATTCAGAGCTAAGAGTGTCAGCTGACCACTGATATATAATTAAAGTTTGATAATTGCAGGAACATTTTTCCCGTCATCTCACTACCGAACACAGAACAATTAGTTTATAGACCACTGAGTTTTTATTCACCTCTAATAGACCTTTGGAGGTATACTACCCCATTATAATTGTCCTTAAAGATTACTGTATGTTATATATTTATATTTCCTCAAAGTCAAAGCTTACATATTGTAGCCACTAGATAATAATTTATTGAATACTTAAAGCTCCAGAGACATATTATTGTATAATTTCTCTTGGGCATATAGAGGATATTCTACTGTTGAACATGCTTATTCAATAATACATGTGACTTACATATTTGGATTTAAGCATCCATATATTTCACTGTCAGGCAACAAAATGTATTTTTGATGGCAGAAATGTTTCCAGTTATTATTTTAATTAGCAATTATTTCTTCTTTAATCTCTAGAGAATATTGAACTTTAGTGCATTCATAAAACAGGAAAAAGTTGCCCAACATATATAGATGGGAGGATCCTGTGTTATTTTTCCAAACTATATTTTACACATATAATACACTCCCATTAGTATCATCATGTGGGTTAAACTATATTAGAACAGCAAGAAAGGAAGAGTTATGGGAGAGACTAGAAGGAGGCATGATTAATTTGCGTTTGGAACGTAGATTTCTGCATTGTGCTGAATGGAAGTGTTCTATTTCCTCCTTTTTTCTGTGGCCAATTTGTAGGAACTGCACAAATGAGTTTTCTGGTCTTTTGAAATTTAGTTGATTCAGCCAACAGGTAATGCCAGCAGTCTTAAGAAAAGGAAGAAAGTAAATTTGGGGTGTCCATTTCCCTTTTTTCTCTTTGTGATAGATGCATGCACATACCTTCTTTGACTAATGTTAGAACTTCTATCTGATAGCTTTTTGCACTCAGTTCTCTCTCTCGCTCTTTCTCTCTCTCTCTCTCTCTCTGTATGTGTGTGTGTGTGTGTCTGTGTGTGTGTGTGTGAGAGAGAGAGAGAGAGAGTTCTTGTAAATGCTTTATATTCTTACTTATTAGGGCTTAGGGGTGTATACTATTTTTTTCTCCCTTGAAGAGTTGAGAAATACATGAGTAGAAGGAGTTTATTAGAAATTATCCCAGAATCATCAAGACAAGACAGAAGAGAAAACCAATAAAATGTATGTTACTGGATTATATGGTTCATATGATCCAGCAATCCCACTGCTCAATATATATCCAAAAGAAAGGAAATCAGTATATTGAGGAGATATCCACACTTCCATGTTTATTACAACACTGTTCACAATAGCCCAGATTTGGAAGCAACCTGTGTCCATCACCAGATGAATGCATAAAGAAAATCTGGCACATATACACAATGAAGTACTCATCCACAAGAAAGAACGAGATCTTGTCATTTGCAGAAATGGTTATGATGATTACTGGGTTAAGTGAAATAAGCCAGGCACAGAAAGACAAACTTTGCATGTTGTCACTCATTTGTGGGAGCTAAAAATTAAAACAATTGAACTCATGGAGATAGAGAGTGGAATGCCAGTTACCGGGGGCTGGGGAAGGTAATGGGTTGTAGGGAAGAGTGGATGGTTAATGGGTACAAAATATAGTTAGATGGAATAAATAAGATCTATTATTTGATAACAAAAAAGAGTGATTACAGTTAACAGCAATGTATTGTACATTTTAAAGTAACTAGGAGAGTGTAATTGGATTGTTTTTAACACAAAGAAAAGATAAGGGCTTGAGGTGCTAAATACCTCATTTACCCTGATGTGATTATTATGCATTGTATGCCTATATCAAAATATCTCATGTTCTCCATAAATATATTCACCTAGTGTGTACCCACAGTCTTTTTTTTTTTTTTTTTTAAAGTTATTGAGGTGGTTAAAATTTGGTCAACTAGAGTTGAAGTCTGCTGAGAACTTTCTAAGGAACCATGTAGAATATTCCTCTGGATTTTTCTCTCTGAAAGATGGAAAGCATTAGGTACTTACAAATTCCCAGCCCACCCCATTTATTCTGGAATATTAACTCTCCTGCTCTTCTATACAGTTTTTACCCTCAGAGATCTCCTGTGGCTTCTGAAAAATTCCAAAACACAAATGAAGAGGGGTTGCAGTATGCACAGAACTGTCAAGCGTCCCTAAGCTGAAATCAGAGGTAGGTTAAGGGAACATAAAAGGCACCAAGCGCATCTGCTGCAGGACAATCAGAACTGGGACACTGTTACTAGATGCAGGAAACAACCTTCCCCTGTGGTTTCCTCATTCTCTGTCCAAATCTTTCAGATAGTTACTGTATTAAACTCTTCACAAATTACCCAGTTTTAGTGGACTTTCTGGTTTCTGCCAGGACCATAACCGACACTCTCTTTGTGAGTAAAGGTAGACCATATAACATAATCTTGCCAAGGACCCAGCAATTGGACCTATCTTTGCTTATTTTTGACTGAACTTCCTAAGTACATTGAACAGCGCTCAGTACTCAAACCCACCTCCTAAATACACTGCTGGGAAAAGTGGGTTGATTGTATTTTGTAAAAGTATGTCTGTGTTTGCCAGGCATTGTGTCTCTATAATGTATAAATAATGTAAATGAGTTTAGTGAGGCATTGAGGTAGAATAAGTCCCTGTGGTAGGAGATAGACAGCAAATGTGTTCTCTATGGAGCCCACTGTCCAAGAAAGAAGACATAGACTAAATAGATTTTAAATGTATATTTAAAATTTATTTATAATCTTTCATGGCCAGTAAAAATATATATATATACACACTATATATGCATACACACACACACATGTATATATATACTCACACGTGTGTGTGTTATATGTATGTGTATATATGTGTGTGTGTGTGTGTGTGTATCACTCAGGCTGGAGTACAGTGGTGGTATCTTGGCTCACTGCAGCCTCAGCCTCCCAAATAGCTGGGCTCAAGTGATCCCCCCACCTCAAACTCCCAAGTAGCTGGAACTACAGACACCTGCCACCACATCAAGCTAATCCAGCTAATCAGTTAATTTTTGTACTCTTAGTAGAGATTGTGTTTCATCATGTTTCTCAGGCTGTTCTTGAACTCCTGACCTTAAGTGATCTGCCCGCCTTGGCCTCTCAAAGTGCTGGGATTACAGACATGAGCCCTGTGCCTAGCCAGAGATAGACAATATTAAATTGAGAAAATTTTTATCTGACACAGTGGAACTGAGGACATGGAGACACAATAGTTTTAAGTATTTCTTATAAAAGAAACATTTTATATAGTATGATTCTTGGAGGACTAATTTCAATTAAAATGTATTTTCACAGTTATGCAGTTATTAAATATAGTAAAGTAGCCTGTGTCTCTGGTAAGGTATCTGATCAGAGTAGTCTGAAGAAACATTTTTTTATTCATTACAATCAATATGCTGATTTCTTTGTTATTCAAAGAATTAGAAAGACAAGACTATATATTTTGCATTGTAGCTTGTAGCAAAATGAATATAACATGTTCTAAAATATATTTTTATTTCTCTGATCTTTTCATTTTTTCACTGTATAGAAGTGCTGCTCAGTAATACAAAAAATGTTTTATTGCAAAGCAGCTCTCTGGTCTAGTTATAGCATTATTTCTTTATATATTTTGCAAATAAGAGCAGAACTTGCCATTTGCAATGTAATTTATTTTTCCCCAGAGAAGTGGAAAGTGAGGCCCATAGAAAATGACTGCAAATATTGTAAGAGTGGTGCCACAATTAGCAAAGCCGAAGAAGTAAGTTTATGCATTGCACATCACCTAATTTTTTCCCTATAATAGACACGTTTATTTTTCTTTTAAACAAGTTGTAGCACAAGTTATTGCTATTAAAGTTCCACTTTGTAATTATAAAAAAGAAAATCTCAAGGTGTTTTCCTTCTTTTGAGAGAGTTAGTATTATCCAGTCGACTTTTAAAACACAGAACTACTTTCTCATTTATGCAAAAATGTAAACATATTTTAATGGTAGTATATAGTTTCTTCTTTTGTCTTTGCCTTAACTAATTTTGTATTATAAACTGTTCAGTGTATTTTTATATCACAATACCTAAATGAATGCTAGAATCTAAAAGAAACTTCAATGGTGAGATTGAATTCATAGAGAATAGAAGATTCAATGAGATTAAAGTGGCCTAAATTTTAGGAATATAATTAATAGTTTGAAAATACTGTTCTAGGGTTGAAATTTTATATTCATTCATTCAATTTATTATTCATTTGCATACTCACTGATTTTAAAATGTTTAAGTACCTATTTGGAACCAAGCACTATTTTATTTCCTATGGATAAAGTGTTAAGCAAACGTCTTGAATTTGGCCTCATGAATCTTGCAATTTAGTGAGAAAGACAGATGTTAATTGAATAGTCACACCACAATTTAATTATACATTAATAATTTATTTAAATAAAAACATGGGTATATAAGGAAGCACGTTACAAGGAGAGTTGAAATTATTTCCAGGATCACTGAATCGAGGTTGGTGTTAGGTACCGCAGTTTACTAAGCAGAGGGAGAGGGAGGAGGGTTGCTGAAATATTCTGAGTTAAGGGAAAGGCAGATGTCCTGATGTGAGATAAATCATGGTCAGAGTGGTGGGAACACAGTAATTGAGAGAGAAAAAGAGATTCAAATTGCCTGGTGTGATAACCAGGTGCCAATTCTTGCAGAAATTTTAGATTTTGATAAGAATTGTGTTTTTTTATCTTAGGAAAAATGGGCAACACGTATCCAAATTTGCATTTTCAAAATATTTTTTCAGGTACCCTGCACAGAACTCTTGGTGGAGCTAATAGATGATGAAGAATTGCCCATTAGGGTGCAGTTTCATATCTCATGTGAAAGGCCACATTCAGATGGGAAATGTAGACAGAGAACACATGGATGGATTTGTGAGATATAGTTTGAAAGTAAAATCAAAGGGATTTAGTGAGAAATTTAATAAAGACGTGGAAGTTATCAAATATGATTCCTATGTTTCAGCTTGAGGGCAATAAATGTGTAATATCCCAACCATGATGTTTGAGAACTCTGGAGATAATTTGATTCCCAGAAGGAGATAAATTATATTTGAATGTAGGATATATTGAGCTTGAAGTAATTTTGACACATGCAAAGAGATGATTAATAGGCAGTTGGTTATATTGGTACTTAGTTTAAAAGAAAAGTCTGGACTAGAGCCATACATTGAAAAGATACACATGCAAATGTCAACTTTATGGTTACCTTTTTCTAAGGAGAGATTCTGAAGAGGAAAGATAAAGGGGCCTTGCACTGTCTTGACATATGTTAAAATGTAATGGTTGTTATGAGTAAATTCATCTTCAAAGGAGTCAGAAATTTAGAAGGTATAAATAAAAAGACATGGTTTAGTGGAAGCAAAGAAAAGTGTTTCAGAGAGAAATAGTGAGTGGCTCTCACAAAAACTGAAGAAAGCTCAAGACGACAATTTTATAAAGCACCATTGAATTTAGAAATACAGAAGACATTTGATGACCTTGATGTGGAATGTTTTCACTGGGCACAGTAGGCTACCAACTATATTAGAGCTGAGGAAATGGAATCACTAAGTGAAAACAAATTTTGAAACATTGGCTCTATAGAGGAGAAAGATATGACCACAGTTAGATAGCTAAATTACCTTTTGACAATAAAACCTGGCAAAACAGATCTTAAACATTTTTTTTAAATATCTAATTTTTAAATTGCTGTTATAATCAAATTTCCTAACTTTGAACATTTTAGAAAACAATTATATGTATTGCAATACTGTATTCTCAAAATTTCTATGACTGAGTTCTTAAATGACCACACAATAATTTTAATATCATATCTTTTATGACTGCAAGCATAACCTTCATATCTATGAATAATAAATCAAGAAATAAAGTAGTTAATAAGTATCAACTTGATTATTTTTAAATAAAAGAGGAAGAGATACAATACAAAGTAACTTTCAGAAAAATTAAGACCTACAAGGAAGATGGAGGTGTTTCCCAAAATTGGCTTCAGAAATATACTTCGTGCCAATGGAGAAATGGTTTTCAAGAGGCGATTTTTAATTGGCTCTTCCTGATGTCAGAAATGGACCAAAAGATTTAGTATTGTTTGGATGTTCTGGAGACATCGAAAATTGATTTCTCATCTTAGTTTTGGGTGCTACATCTGTATTAGTATGTTGTTCATACACAGTGGCTCTAGCCCTTATTATGCCATTTTTTGAGTTAATCTGTAATACGACTCTTCATCATCATTTTCTTGATCCCTTTTTTTTCATTTCAATCTTTAAAATTTTCTTCGAAATTGCATTCTGTCTTTCCACTATTCTTATTGACATCATGACCTATTAATATAGCTCTATTTCTTCCCCATTATTTCCCAGGTATTGTGTCTGTTTTGTTTAAATTGAAAAATTGAAGGAAAATGAAAATGTCTTATAATTCTTATGTTTCAATTTTTTTCATTTTTAAACCATGAATAATTTAAAGTATGTAAAATCTTAAGTCAAACAACCTAGAAGTCCGTCTATATAAATCTATGTATCAGGGATTGAGAATAACACAATCACAATTAGAAGAGACCTTAGTTTTCCGTTTAATAAAAGACTCCATAGCAGTTTCATTAACTAATTTCCATGGCTAAGTATATTTGACATTAGAAATGTCTTCCATATTTTAATTTCATAATTTCTTAAGCAGCTTTGCTTTAAGCTTATATTCTGTCTCAATTTTAGAAGCAGAAGCACCGATCATTTGGTCATTTGTATGTTTCCTTATGTCTGGAATCTTAATTATACATTTTCTGGCAATTTCTCCACTTTGTCCACTTTTAATAAATTTAACATTTTTTTTCAGTATGTGTAGTTATATCTTTTTCCATCTCCTGCATTCATTATATCATAGTTCTGTAAAATTCATGTATATGCGTGTGTGTGTGTGTGTGTGTGTGTGTGTGTAACAAGAAAACCTTTTGAGATATTTGTGTTTACTCTCTTGATTTATTTTTGTCCTCTTTCGGTTATTCCTCTTCAAAAATTGTGTAGTTTCTTTGTATTTTGTTGATTCAAGGGAGCAATATTCTTTAGGGTTGAAAGTATTAATCTTGTATTTCTGGCTTTTGTGTTTTTGAATGGGTTTTGCTATGAAAGAAGAGAACAAAGGAAGCACTATTGCTAACAACAACCTGAAAAGGAGAAAGAGTCCAGAGACTAGAGAGATGGTATAATATGAGATGGATTGTGATATAAATGCCTTTGTGTGTGTGTGTGTGTGTGTGTGTGCTGTGTTCCATGGAGATTAAGAAACCTAGGGTTAGTGGTCAACAAAAATGGCTGTAGAATATCTACCTTTTATAACCAAGCAACAGGTTTCCGGACTTGACAGAGATACTGGTGCCCCATATACCTGTATATGTAACTGGACCTTAAGGAGTGAACTGAAAGAGTGGGCAATCCGGTAGGAACCACCGAGAACCCAGGTATAAGAATCTCACCGAATTATTGTATGCTTCAAAAATGACAGTAAATTTTACATTATCCAAGAGTAATAGAAGATATGAAATCACACTTAATTTCATCCAGTTAAAGAAAGAAGCTAAAGTCTTATTCACTACACACTTAATACTTTCCAAGGAAATAACAGAAGAGTTGAAAACATAATAATGGTAAAATGATTATGAGTCTCTTCCCTGCATTTGCCATGCATAAACAAGACTGCCCTCCTTCTGTTTTTATTTGTACCATTATTGTTTCTGTGTAAAGACTTTGGACCTGTTGTCATCTCAGCCTGAATGACATGGTTGACTTCTTGTCATTCAGGTCAGCCTCAGTTGACATACCACTGCCTCAGAGAGCTATTCATTGCAAGCCAAATTTACATTATGCCTCCTACCCAAAGTCCCTCTTTATCTTTATAGCACTTATTCTAAATGAATTTATCTCATTAAATTATTGATGGGCTTCTCTATTGTTTAAATCACCCACTAGAAAGTAATTTCCATGAGCTCAGAGGCTTTGCCTGTCTTTGCTACTTATGTTAGCCAATCACATAGTCAGGCCTCTCTGCATATTTGTTAAATTAATGGATAATAGCCCCCTAGTCTATCTGCATACTGGAAAACTCCATCAAGGTATTCATTTATTTATTATTTCTCCCTTTTTTATTTTTTTACTTCAGATTGTACAATCTTCTTAGACTTTATGGTGCATAATTGGTTTCTGTAATGAGTGATTGGTCCATTGCTAGGCTTATTGCTATTATAAGGTCCTGAACAATAGTCTTCTCATTTTTTTTTCTCCTATTATTTATATAAACTGTATCAGAATACTAAAACGCTAGACATGTATTGTTAGTAATGCAGACTTAGTGAAAGACTGATTAAGACAAAGAGAATACAAGATTTATCAAGACTTTAAAAGAAACATCAACACATTTTGTGCAGTTTTCCAAGGCAGGATGCTGTTTAGAAGAGTTAATGAACTAGAGGTATGCAATTCTGAGAAACAGATACAATTAAGCGAAGTATTGATTTACCCATTAGAAGACAATTAATCATTTTTGCCGTAAACAAAATGAGAAACTTTGGTTGTTAATCAAGGATTCTGTTTCACTCTTTAGTTTTTAATTGCAAAGTTAAACTAGATTTCTTTTCATGCTTATTAATAGAGCTATTTCTTTTAGTCTTGGAGCAGGTGACACTTAAATAATAATAATTTTTGTAAAGAATCTGAAAAATGAGATATAAAATGACCATTAATGAAAAATTGAAATTTACATAAAAAGGAATCATAAAAGATAATAATAATTATTAATTTTGCTCACAGTCTTGATAAA